AACAATCATATCAAAACTATAAAACGTTGCTAATCGTTTCCTATTTTTTTTTTTGCTTCATCTAGAAATGACATTTTATTACTAAATCGTATCTTGCAGAAACAGAGCGTCAAGTAATATTGGTAGGTGGTAAAGTGTCGCTCAAGTACATTACGTCTAAGAAAACCCAGCGGAATTGGATTTGTGGGATTTGTAGTAAGTCCCAAAAATACAAGGTTTCAAAAAATATTGAAGGTGTAAAAAGGCGCATAAAGACTAACCGTTGAAGCTTACCTGGATTACCCAACTGTCTATATTTTTCTCACCGCCACTAACTACTTGGTCAAAAACTTGGTATTTTATTGAAGGAAACTTCCTAACATCCAGCTTTGCTGTGGGTAATACTTACCCAAATAATGTTAAATAGAGTTATTTTCATCAAGGAAACATAACCCACTTCTTTTTATAGACCTAACTAATTCTTATCTCACAAAATGACGTAAACAGTTCATCGTTTACTGTTCTGCTACTGACGTCCTATTCGTACCACTGACCAGAGTCTGACTATTAAATTACTCTATGAATTGCGCGTGTATAGGGATTTTTCTTCACAAATCTAACAGCTTCTCCTCGATTCAGGTAAAATGACGCTTTTTGGCGATTGAAGGTGAGAGACGTCCACCAAATCTCAACTATCCAAGACGTTGTCTAAATGACGAGAGCTTGTATGCTACACAGCGTTACGTGAAGCGTTACGCTATGTAAGTTGCCTCATAGCTGCTAAACGGGAACTTGCACTTCGAATTTTTAAAGATATGCGGTCATCGAAGAACTACGTTAGGCCCGAGAAAGACGCGGAAGCTGTAGCAGACCCTATTTATCATACGTCTTACCTACTATGGCTATATTCATGATTATTTGTTCGAGAACCGCTCGAACCTGTGCGATCTCGTGCTACGCTATATATATGTGATGAGATTAATTCGCGTCTATAACAAACGAATTACGTTTCGTGTATAAAGCGGTTGATAAAAACAATTGCAGCGTCTACGTGAACAAAGAGCTCCATATATTCTACGGTATAAACAACTTTATTTACGCGAATTGCGCACAAGCGCCGTATCTTTATAGGTATAACGCTTTTACGTGCGAACTCATGATTTCACAATACACAGATCCATCAAAGAATTGTAGTAGAAGCCACAGTTATCTGTTATACAGCACACAGATATTTTTTGCATATCTGACATAGGCGCGGTTCTACTTTGACCCTAATGGTGGATTAAAAATGTGATAAACTATTATTATTGGTAGTAATTACATTATTCATACATACAGATGTATGAAAGCGCTATACGTTAAATGTACATATATGAGCAAAATTTCGGTATAATTTAGTCCTTTGCTCACGAAGTAACCCACTGACGTCTGTATTCGTTAATACCAATGTTGGCTTGCAATTCAGCAAAGGCCTTTAGTCATATCTGGAATGGATAATTTAAATTTTCTCCAATCTCTCGTATAATGGGATGATCCAAGAAATTCCCTCAATTCACGTCAGCGTCCTGGTAAAGTACGTAGTTGACCTGGCTCGCTAAAGAGCTCCAATGGCGAATTATAGTAAAAAGCCGTTGTAGTGCCATATCCAACAAATCTTTAAATGGCGGAGAACATTTTAGCGGAAAAAGAACCCCTGTTTGTTTTTACCAATGAATAAATTTCAGATATTACTAATAAATTGTTTCGAGCTTAAACGTCAGACGCTGCGTCAGCAAAACATTAAATCAATTGTACTCTTCTTGATGCTACTGAATGTCAACTTATAAATGTTCGTCCCTTGCTTATTAACTTCATAGTACCACGATTACCGTTGTCGGGCTTGGTGTACGATGGCGAAGAAAAGCACCCTTTCTTCATTACCATACGACGACTGCTTCTCCTGATCAGCTTGGTTATCTATACGAGTATAGTAAGCGATGCGTTTTTTTTTTGTCTAATTTGCGTAGGTAATTTACCAATACGATGATGGCTAATGTTAAAGACAACGCTTTGCAAACCTAGCTTGTGCTTTCATGGTCCTGTTTCATGACGTCGTGCCTATCTTATAAATGAATCTCTGGACTAGGAACACTACCACCATAGGTTCTCTGCTTGACTTGTCTCCACCAGAGAGGGCGCTGATAATATCTTTTAAGCGTTTGCGCATTAGACGAGATGAGTAACATACTTGTTGAGCTGAAGGGGGTGCCCATTAGTCCCTAGCGAGACAGATGAGAATCAAGTCCTCATTAAGTAAGTACTGTTATTCGGTTTGTGAGGAGTAATATACATACGTACAGCTTGTGCTTATTTCAGTATTCACGTCGTTACGCACACGCGCTGCTTTTTTTTTCTCATATGTACAGGCGCTACTGTTTGGTTGCAGCTGTAAAGCACTGGGGAGAAGTGGGTCCGGAGAGGCAGAAACGGGAAGCTCATCGTGGATGGATCGCAATTTTAAACTTCCCGCCAAAAGCAACTTGAGTCACGTATATACGAAAATTTCGTCTATGTCCTTTAGTCGAGCTAATAGAAGAAATGCATAAGTAAATAGGTTAGTTAGACGAAATATGGGGTCCTGATGTATTCGAATGGACATTGTTGATCGAAGGGAATAAAAGGCTAGACTCTTAAATGGGTTGACAGGTGATACTGACATAAACTGTGCATAGAAGAGTTTTTGCTCACACTAAAATGATGTTTTAGGATCTCTTCGATTACATCTGTGTGATCGCTTACAAACTAGTACATAAATGCAATAATAGTATATTATGTGAAAAACCGTGTTAGGCATAAAAGGTTGCAGCCATCATAATAATAATATCATAATAATACACAATATCATACTAACAGTATTGCTTAGTTGTTATGCCCTAGCAATAGATGGATCTAGTCGTAGTGCTTCGTATATATTGCTTGCTACGCTTACTCAAAAGCCATTCAACGTCGACACAACAAAAAAAAAACTCTACTTAGCTCTACAGTATACAATATATAACAGCTAATGGTGACGAGGCTTGCATATACACTGGACAATGTTTAGTAACCATCATAATTTACTTCAAATATATCATTACGCTATAAATTTTAATCGAAACAACAACGCTATATAGTATCTTGGTTTTTTCTTATTTAATAACCGTACACGTACCGAGTCTCAAGCCAAACATTTATACTTTAACATAAATGCCCACAACGCAACATGAAGGAGCGAAATGGACGAATCGGTGGCTGAACGCACCGGTCTATGTCCGAAGCCATGGCTCTTTAGCTAACATTAATGGGTGCCCTCTGGTAGAAAACAAGTTAGACAGATAGAACTGGCCAGCCGTGGAGAAAGCGTGTATCCAAATCCAGCATACGCATAATCGATACCGTTCCATGTTTGCTAAATGCACTTATGTGATAAACAATAACATGTACAACAATGGACCGCTCTGATTGACCCCTAATGAACGAATCTGTTCTGCCAACGTTAATGCATCCATATAGGAGACTATCGACCGTACGTACGCTTCGACAGTCGTCTTTTTTTCCCAATGAGACTCCATGCATGCACGCATGTTCCTTCTATGAAAAACACATGTGTACATGGAAACGATTGGACGTACTATTTTATTTTTTGTCCAAAAAATATAATACAGCATTTTGATTGAGGCTTATCGTTTTTTTGGTGGCAACTGTAAAGCTACCAGTATAATTCTATGTTAACCTGAGTCATCAGATAAACGACAATGACGACTCAATGCACTCAGTGGAAAGTTCAAGCGAACCACGTCCGTATACGTAATATTTAATCAATAGATGCTGACGCAGTTAATAAGACTGCAACTGCTGTAGCTGTGGAATGTATAAGAAGTTTTTCAAAGTAAACAGTATGCGGATGTCCGAAATCGAAAATTCCAAAGTAACTTGGTACCGCCACAATTACCTCAATTGATTATTAATGTTTATGCGTCTATTTTTCAACGAACAGTAAGTTGTGCTGCTTTGACGGAATTGTTTTTAGCTGAAGAGCTATAACTTTTATCCATCTCTCAGTTTTCTCGAAAAAGATTTATTGCACGTCTTGCATGGCGCGGACTTACCGTACTATTATTTTCGAATGGATGCAGACTTTTACAAGGCTGCTACTACTTACTTTAATATCTTCTACATCACGGTCCGCTGTTATGCCATATGTTATTCAGTGTGCTGCACTGTGTCCTATCTATCATTTGTTGGTTGTAAATAGGACGATGACAGGCCTGTCCGGCGGCTCATACGCGTCCTCGGATAATAGATCGTATAACAAGCTACAGGTCTGACAGACAATATCCTACGCAAAGGGGTGTAAACAAAACTTTTCCTTAGCAGCGACCCTTGCCGCGTCAGTTCTTGTGGCTGACTTAAAGGCATAGAGAAAGATGGCGGGTTAGATAGCGCGCGCATTTTTCACATGTTGATATTGTTGTGTTGTCTATTCTCGTACGTAGATTAGGCATAAGATTTGTGCACGTGATTTTAATCGGCGCAAAGTTCATATATTTGATAGAGCTGTTTTTTTTTTTTTTTTTTTGTGTTAATTTTAAAACACGCCATCACCACCAGAGGAAACGTAATTTTCACATTCGTTGACTTCGACGCCTTTAATCGCCGAAACTCCCTGGCCGGACAACCGTTGGCAACGCCTTTTTCATTTTTATAGCACGATATACAATGATTTCGAATAGATGCGCCTTTGTCGTACATAGCAATTATTACTAGAGCGAGACTCCACGTCCTGCTTTCTTGCGATCCGTAATGAATATGTCGCTCATCGACTGTGAAAGCCATACCTATAACTGCCAGTGTTAGCATTTGAAATTTCATCTCTGTTAAGGGGGTAATTACTTCTATCTGTTGGGGAGACCGATGTTTGCCATGGGTCAATTCGAGTTAACGATCTGCTTTGCTTTTGTTTAACGTTTGCTGGTAGCATTATAGCGTTTATGTGGACTCACCTAGAGCGGAGGTTTTTTGGATATTTGTTCTTGTTATCTCGCTCGATTTTTCTTAGGATCCATTCGTTGCCCCCGTCCATGGCTGCTTGCTGCTGCTGTGCTAGTGCTGATTCGCGCTAATAATTCGAGGCACGAGACACGAAATGACAAAAATCGCACCTCTAATTTCAAACAAATACACGACATCGGCTTCTTAGCCGATGAGAGTAACATTTGCACCGACTTGCTCACTGTTCCACGAGTAAACAGTCAACGAGCGCGCGAATCTGTCGCTGCTCTAAACGAAATGAAGCAAAACATTATATAAAATAATGTTAGGTCCGCAAGAATATGTGTGGCTATGTACGCGCGCAGGACGTACGACGCTGTATGTTAGTTTATAGCTATTGTATGTTGTTTGTGCTCCGTATTGTTTGCAACATGGTTTACAGCGCAGCTCCATAAGTACACGCTGTTTACATACAAACGATCAGTGCGATGAAGTATAGTCTCGATAGGTTTCGTAACCAGGCCAGTGCAGGTTGGTTTTGCAGACGGCGAGATATACTTGTTGGCTCGCAGCGTCCTACGATGGCTGGACAGTTCCTAATGACACTGTCATTTAAGTTAGGGAAGTTGGTTGCCGTTCGCAGAGCGTCTAGCCATTGTTATTATTATACGCAATACGACGCACTACTATTGCAGTGATACGTCTTAAAGTGCAATGATTGATTGAGATGAAACGTGTCTTTTATCATTAGAAACATCGGGTTTCAACGTCAGGCAACCTTCATCCTTCCCGCTTCCAAATCCGTTTCTGCGTTTTTTTTTCTCTGACTTCTCTATAGCTGCCGCGCACGACTCAGATCCGACGGCACAAACAAATACACGTTTCGAGGGCGAAATACTCTCGCGTACGGTTACACACATACAGCCTATGACATAGAAATTTGTGTCATGGCATTTGCTTCATCACTCCAACACTCTGAACATCTCCTAGTATCTTTTAGTAGCAACAGCAGCGGCAGCAAAACGATCCCAATGACGCGCGAAGACAGTTACTTACTGTTTGCTGTCGTTATGAGTCGTCGCTTCCTTTCCTAGCTCGCTCTGTTTCTCCCGTTGGATCGTGTCATGACGATTTTACATATGAACTGCCAGCCCAACAGACGGATGAATGATGATGGACAGTGCATGTTGCCAATGGCTGTGAATATATGCACGCCGAGACAATTCTGCTACTATCCTCTGATAACAACAACAAAACGTGGCACGAGCAGAAACAAAGCTCAATATCCACTTGATAAAAGGCACCAGCAGCGTACGACGACGGCAGCCAAAAATTGCCATCACCTTCAAGTATGCACGGACTGGGCTGAACGGTAGGGCACCGCGGGTCGTATTCGTATCAATACTTTAGTGAAGAGCGGCATCGCGCCTCGTCGTCCGTTTATCTTCAAGAAGTTTGTTCTTTCCTGTCCAGGCTAATTGCACATGTACAAATATCTACCTGTCTCTGCGAGCGTGTGCATGAATATCGCGTTGGACGTCATCACCATCAACACGCTGGCTTACAGGGTAGCTGTCAACAAAGACAAAGACGGACGACAGCAGGCTGTGTATAGCATAATTACCGTGTTCTCCAGCTACGACGCTATCATCTTTTGCTCAGGACTGTTTCGGGATCGTTGCCGCTGCCGCCGCCGCCGCCCGCGCTTGCCCAACGTTGTTACCGTGGCCACCAATAGACACTGGTTACAGGAGGTAACGGCTGTTGCTGCCTCCGAATAGCTGGTGAAGGGCCTCGCCTGGTGAGACGGCTTCATCGGTTGTCGACGTCGCTGCCCATGAACGGCGGAGACGTCAGCGTCAATGGTTTTGAACTGCAACAGCTGTTGCTACAGGGCTGTGGTGTTGTCTCGTTGCTGAGTATCGTCGCCTAGAAATTGTACTCATCCAAAACATCTCCCTGTTATTCCCGCTCACCTCCCGCTACTGCATTGTATTACGATATTACTGCGCAAATGGCGCGTTTCTTCGCGCCTCAATCTCGACTCACCTAATTGAGCTGTCGTTGTAAAACCGCTGCTACTATTATTGTTGAAAATGTACGTGTAGCTGTTGATGTTGTCGTAGCCAAAACAGCACAAATATTTCTCCACTTAAGATCAGCCCTGTAGACAGGATTTCTATTTGCGATCAGACCGCTTAGTACTGACCGTAGCAGTCATGGAGACATCAGTGATATCAGCGCGCGTGTCCCCTCCTCTCATACTTCGTTCTTTTCCGCGAAAAGAAGAATTGATAAGGACAATATCGTTACGACCAGCGGGACAGCGACCACGGAAGTGGGACAGGGGACTGCAGGATTCAAGGCTGTTTTCTTTTCATTTATCTACAATTTTTTTTTTCATTTCTACCTCAGTTCAGGTCCGTCGAAGTCGCAGTTAACTGGCCACGCTTACCTGGACAGTGCGGTGAAGAACTCCAAATCTTTTCTGGCTCAAAGCCAAAGCAGGTATTGCCGCTATTTCCTAAATGTCTTATGCGTTGTTTTCTTCTAACTTCCTTGAGGCAGATGTAGTTTGTTTCATAGCCATAAATGGCTGGGCGGTCGGTACGAAGTCATTCGACAGTTTTTAGGATGTTAGTATTTTTGAAAACATCACCCCAAGCTAACATATCTTTCACTGGCCAGCTGAATGGCCACAATAAAAAGGATATTCACTTTTATTGGCATCAACTATATCACGCTACTGCCATGCTTGTGATTTTCGCCATTGTTTTGGTCAACCGCAGCCGCAACAGCATCGATGTCATCAACGCACCATCGATCACCATCAGTCGACTGACGGACCTTACTCGCGGCAGCAGCAACTGCAGTAATCGAAAGAACAGCCTCTGCGGTAGTTGACGAAGACAAAACTGGTGGCCCCGAACGCACGGATTGCGGGAGGAGGAGAAGCAGTAACGGTAGTCATCGTGTCCGAGAAGGCCGTGAAGATTGATTACTACGCCGTTAACCAGCTGAACAATGAAAACCAAAGATGTCGCACCTCTACTTCGGAAGAACGGACTGCGGAAATGAATAGAAGAAAAGGGGGAGAACGTTAATGGCTGTGATAGACTGACTGGTTGCCACCCCCTCTCGTCGGTTAAATCAGTTCAAACCCTCGGATCCGGTCCTGATTTCGTCGTTGATTACGCTCATCGCCAATCCACGCACGACGAGAAGGATCGCGCCATCAGCTTCATAAGAATGGCACAGCCATCGTAATTATCACAATATCGCCGTCATAAGCGCGGAGAGTCTGTACTCTACGTGCTAGTACTAACCAGTCAACGATCATCAATCAGCTGCTGCGTCATTTAGAGGGAGCTGCCAATATGGCTAATATGTAGTCAGTCAGTCATATGCTGCGATAGAACACGCACTACCAATGATTGCTGTTATTATTAACTGCAATTGTCCTACATATAAACACACGCGCGTTCGGAATTTGTAGGCGTCACACAGATCGAAGTATCAGCAGTGATATGGTGATCCCGTAATCACAGTAACACAATCAGCGTACCATGCGGTTGCTACGTTTCCGCGAGCAATTATCATATGCACGATTTTGCTTAGTTCTTTGTCGCTCGTCTGTCTTCCATATCACAAATAACGTCGTCAAACTACGCCATAGGCATATAGCTCTAGCGAAATTTGTATAGTTGGCCCTACGATATACCGTTGTTAAAATCCACTTTTTGAGCTTTGTTTCTCGGCTAGCAGTTGAAGGTACGAACGCCTATCATACATTGCAATGATCACAGTTGGAAGAACTCGCGCGGTCCACGTAAGACAACCTGCCGTTTGTATTGTTTCGAACTACAATTATGTATAACTAGCAAAACGATCGTGAATATATTTCGGTGTACGTGTCTAGGCCTGGAGCGCGCATGTCCTAGCAGTAATGGGTGTTGTCTTGAAGTGTCAGTAGTGCATATTGCTTAATCAGATCAACAAGCACGCCCGGCTGGCGACCCTCTTGACAGCTTGCCCTGCTTGTAATCAGTGGTACCTTGCGGCTTTATCAATTAACGCCTGTTACTGCCGCAGCACTGTGAGTTAGTTTGTCTCGAAAGTGGGGTTGTCGATTTTGACAGGTAGCGTTGGCATAGACACTAGACGCTCGCACCTATCCAGCTAGATTTAGCTAGACTTGCACTGTTCTTAAATATGTCTATCCGAGACTGCCTCGCCCGTTTCATCTTAATTATGTCAAAAGCGTCATTAACTATTTGGCGTTTATCAATTGTTGTCCTCCACTGGCGCTGTTGTTGTTGCTGCTGCTGCTGCCGCTGCTGGCGTAAGTGTTAGCTTGTAGCGCGCGAGTCGCTGGGTACACGGCACAATAGTGGCTTTCAGAGCTTCAACTCCGCAAAAGCTTTCAATGGCAACACGCAGAGAGTGATAAAGGCGAAGAACTGTTACCGTACTTTGCTTTTCCACTGTCAACTGCCATTCTTTGTGCATCTTTGCCTCATCTATGTCTGTCCCGTCGATATCGTTGAACAGCAGTTACCGTTCGCTGTCAGTATTAGCTTAATGCCAATCGTTATCTTGCAATTTATTCTCGTTTGGTTATAATCTTACAATTACCGCGGCTCATGCCAGCATGACTGAGCTACACCATCATCGCCACTCGCTGAAGTGAGAGGCGAACATATTCGCTATGCATGTATCGGCGAGACATAGATGATTCTTCGATTAAAAGAGGGAAACACCTACTGGTTACTTGTCTTCCTCTGCTTTTTCTCGGGTCGCTTGGCTACCGTCAGTAGCTTCTTTGGGTAGTAGTGCTGCTTTAACTCGTTCTATCCTTGTACTTATTGCTATTATTCGTTTATTCTATAACAGCTGCAGCCCTTTTACTTGCTGTGCGTTATGGCCAGAACGACCGTCACTGCTATTGCTTCATGCCACTAATCGCGCAGAGAGCTGCTGCGGTCCCTGTCGTGGCTGCTATTGCTGAGTTCATCCGTCCGGCGACGGTGCCCGTTGTGCTCCTAAGCGATCCGTTGTTCCGTTGGCGGACGGTCGTCCGTCAGGAACGAGAGAACCTCAGGCCACCGTCAGGGGCCGGCCAACGTGCAGCAGCAGCGATGGCGGCGGCAAAGGAAAGGGCAGAGCGCGCCACGCAACAGCGTACTTCAGTTCACTCTTTACTCAGAGAACAGCAGTATCACAGAATGGCATCGCAGCACACAAGAGAACGACAAGACCAACCAGGCAGCCGTAGCATGCACACTGTCTACGGCATCACGGAAAGAGGCACTGAGTAGAGAGTAGGAGAATTCGGACGGGCTATGGACCCTTTCCTGCAAAGCACGCACAGACAGAGTGTAAGCGACAGTCTCAAACGTTACCAAGAGCGGCCTTACCCTTCGCCTTGCCCTTACCTCGGCTATTAAGCTCACGTCCCCCCTAAAAACACCTCAGCACTCCTTGGATCTCTCCACTTCGTCCCCGATTCCTTGCATTCACTCTACCGACGTTCTCGTATAATCCCCTGTTTTCGACACACGAAACCCGAAAACTGACCCTAATTATTAAACAGGCTTGACGGAGACGCACTGCAATGCGTCGTGCTTTTCACACAACTCTCGGTCATAGTTCTTGATAACTATTTGTCGTTGTCGTCCAGACGAACGTTTGTCTTTTTGTTCGTTGACATCTTTGTCAGTCTTTCCTATATCTCTTTCCCGATCGGTTACACTGTCGTCTCCAAAAAAGAGGGAGGGTAAATCTAGCTTTCTTTGGAGCTTCTTCAAACAAACGCTTCACGCTGACCCTTTACACATAGACAGGCGCACAGTTACACCATATACAAAGAACTCACGCATACAGACACCCACACGGCAAACGCCACAAATATTATCTAGCTAGCGACCACAAATATTATCGGCCATACACTGGGCGAACGCAGTCACCAGCTCCACTGAGGCAATAAAGACACCCACGGTTTTTCCGAATCCCCAAGCTGGTTTGGCCTTGGCTTTTCAACACCCCGTTCCCTGTCTAACTGATGCAGCCGTCTTTGGCTTGACTAGTGGTCGTCGAAAGACAGCCAAGGCATGTTGTACCAAGACTAAAGAGACCACTACGAAACTATCGATCAGTAACAGCGTACGAGAAGCTCTCGACCAACTCGCGAATTGGCATACGGGCCCAGTTTTACCTTCTACAACTTCATACCCCCTTCTTTGATTCGTATGAGCCGGCGCTAGAGGCGATAGTATCGAGAGATTGACAGAACCTCTTACACTAAAGACCACAGAAGGACGACGGGTGGGAAAAGATGATACGAAGTGATGGTGATAGTGATGACAGTTCTATTTCGAGCCTGTTCTCTACGATACTTTTACTCACCGTCGGACAGATAGACGAGCAAGAAAAAACACTGAATGACAAAGCGGACGAGTTGTCGGAGCGGAAAGACAACAGGCAAGGAGAAAGTCATGTTTACCCATACAGACGCATGTAAATGTACACGCTGATTCATCTAACAGCTACACATAAAAATGCAGGGATATCTATACATGAATATGCTTGTCTGATAGGTGTGTTACCTAGTTGATTTTAACTCTACAGTAAAAAGCTATTTTTCTGAAAATTCACAAGCGCGAAAGCTAGATGTTATTATAAACATTTCAGCATTTATTAATAATATATAGCCTTATACCTTCGTGAAATGTATCTAAAGGTTGAGTATAACAAACTGGTACTAAATTAGGTCAGTCGGATCACTTCCTTATGTATTGGGTCTAAGAAAACAACTATTCAAATGATGAGCTGACATTCTAAAAAATCATGCTTAGTCTATTTAACTGCCATTAACCCTGATCACAACGTTCACACATGATCGCGTACAGGTCATTTTCAAGGTTCGTAAATGTGACAACAACTTCCTTATTGTAACTATGAATAAAATGAGATTAATAGGTATAGACTTGATAAAATCTCATTCAAACACACTAGTAAATTCCAAGCCTCCTCCAAACTCTCAATCCAAAGTAAGCCTAATGTCGTAAAAGGCAAAAATGCCTATAAAGTGTACAAGACTTTCCTTTGGAAAATAACCGCTTATTCGTAAGTCAATATTCCAAGGCTGTTAGAGACGCCCTTTTGCGTCTATACTTCCAGGTCCTGTAGCTATAAAACCTGTTCGATATATTCCGAAGGCTTCGCCCTGTGAAGACGTTTTTCAGATTCTTCAAGAGCATCACAGATGTTGCTAACGATGTAGATAACTGATGTTGGTAAAAATCAACGAAGTTTATAAGCCCGTTGGAAATTCGTCCGTCGCGAAGACATTAGACAATAGCCTACCCTTGGCTTATGTTCTTAACAGGATTTTTTTGCCTGCGTCACGATAAGCTTGTGGTTTCATGCTAGA